CCAGCCTGGTCTACATAGTGAGTTCCAGGCCAGCTGGGGCTACAGGGAAACCCTGTCTCAAAAAGACAAAAAACAAATTCAGTTCATGGTTGGTTCAATTCACGGATATGGAACCTGTGGATACAGAAGGCAATCTGTACTTCAAAACATACATGATAAGTAGCTCCAATTTTATCTTTCAGCTTTAAAAAAATAGAGCAAATCACAAATCATACTGCCCCAGTCAAAACCAATAAGGCAACAAAAATGTAGCAGGATGGTGTGCTAGTTAACGCTCCTGGCCAGAGGAACAGGAGTCACAATAAAGGTTTTTCTAGAATCAAAGACTGAAAAGAAGGATGCCATGAACCAAAGGAAGCCTCCGTTCACTCAGGCCCACCGCACTGGGTTATCCTTTCAGAAAGGTTTGGCAGGTCTCTATGGCCTTGACCACCAGACTTGCTGCCCAACTCTGAGCCTGTAAGTGCATCAACTGGGTACGTGCTTCATTTCCATTCATCCATCGTGACAGTCAGCCCGGGAAAAGGATTCAGAAAATACTGAGTAAACGTCTCACCTGCTCTCTTGTTCTGTTTGGGTTTTTTCTTTTGTTTTGGTTTGATTTGGTTTTTTGTAAACTAATTTTACTTTATGAATAAATTTGTGATATTTGTAATGTTCTGTAATAATGTCTTTTAAAAAATTTTAAAAAATGAATGAATGAAAAAAATCAAACAATTGTTAGGAGTTGTCAGCCACCACGTGGGTGCTGGGAACCAGGTCCTCTATAAGAGCAGTCAGTGCTCTTTAACTGCTGAGCTGTCTCTCCAGCCCCACTGAGTATTTTTATTGTTGATGTTTATTTATTTCTGTTTTTTGAGACAGGGTCTCCCTGTTCTGTAACTTGCTATATAGACAGGCTGGCCTAGAACTCACAGAGATCCACCTGCCTCTGTTTCCTGCTGGGATTAAAGGCATGTACCACCACACTGAGCCCTACTGGGGGCCTTTTAATGGTATCTTTTTAATGACAATCCAGCAAACTCCTTAGCTGCATCTGGATTCCTAGGGAAGTTAACCAAGATTATCTAAATAATTATGTTGATTTGGTCACCTGGAGCAAAAAGAACCAAAGTTAATTTTGTTGTTGTTGATGATGATGTTGTTTTTAATTATTTCATTACAACAGCATTGACATATTCAATAACAATTTCCAGAGCTAAGATGCATCTCTTTCAAAATTGGCTGTAAATTTTTTAGGTTTACAGTTGAATTAATACAGTCATTAAAAATTAATACAGATATACAATATTGAACTCAGTATAAACCCTGTGAGACATAAAATTGAATGAGGTTTTAACCTTTAAAAAAGATCTCCATTTCATTTTAAAATATACTGTTTCATACGGAAAAACTCATTTTTAATGCAACTAATGCTTAGATGTGTGCACATGTGTCTCTAATCTCTATATATCTGATTATTACTAGTCACAGTTGGTTACTTTCTGAGATACTTGGCACCTGAGCATGGATATAAAGTCATCAGGTAGATTTCAATGGTAATGTTTTTCACATTTACTAATTAACATGAAACAAATTTTTATGCCTCTTCCTCAAATATAACTTTTTTATTGATTTTTTTGTGTGTATTTCATACAGAAAATCCTAAACAATCTTATTCATCTATATACCCACATCCCAAGTGGCACCCTCCCATAGCCCCCCTCCCCACTGGAGCCCATATACTCTGTCATCCCTGTTACTGTCCACTGTGTTGTCAGTGCCCCCAGCTATTCCCCAGTGCTTGTCCATCCGCTGAGCCTAGTCAGCCTATCTACAGTTCCTTATTTTAGGGAAGATCAGCTCTTCCTCATCTAGCAGCAAGCAGTTGCCAACATTCCTTTAGATAAGATTGGGGTCTGCTGTTCATTTTCCCAGTTCTATGCTGGGTTACTGTCTGGGAGTCTCTTGGACCACCCTGGCCAACAACTCAAAGGAAGGTATCTCCTGTCTGGCGTTGTTTCTTGTTATGTAGCCTTTAGTTATACACATTAATCTTTGGTTATACTTTATTTTGGTTGTTTAAGACCATGCAGTTGGCCCAGATAAACCAATTTATTTTTACTCTTAAGGTCACTGGAAGATCTGTTCCTCAGGGGTCACATGGGCTTGGGAGGAGCCCCTGGCTCCTTTCTTTTACCAGTTCCATCTATGTGAAGATAAGTCAAAGGTCCTCCTCAACCGTCGATGGCTTCACTTGGAAGCAAGGAGGAAATGTTTCCTCTGCGTTGACCCTCCTCTTTGTAGACTGAACACTGGTTCAAGTCCATCTGGTGGGGTCTCCATGGCCACCTTGATCAAGAGAACAGGTGACTCACCACAGTTACAGGATATTTTGAGAGATGCCCCACAGTCCCCTGGAACTTAGTTGAGCTTGGAGGGCAAGGAGCAAAAACTGTCCTTTAATTCCCTCTGACCAAATTAGTATAGGCCTCAAAGTATGGCTGTTAACCATCCAAGAAGGTTAGTTCCACCAGTCTGGTACTTTTAATTACCATGTGCTATGTAGATAAAGCTTGGGCAAAGACCAAAGGTTCTCAGATAAACCTTGACCTGACATATATTATGTTCACTGAGCTAGCTGTATGTATAATTTGTCAGTAGGTTTTTGGACTAATATGGTTTCCTCTGGGTTTTTTAAAACTTGTGAGGCATTATTTATCTCTTGCATTGTCTCACCCTTCCACCATGGTTTCCCCATTTAAAGTGCCCCCCATTTCCCCCATTTCTCCCTTAACAATACCCTTCTCCTATGGTCCCACCTCTCTTGAGCTCCTTCTTTCCCTTTATTTTCAAGGTTCCTTGT